TTCAGTGCTGTGGAGTTGGTGTTGGAATAGGGTTTCCGAGGCTTCAAATCTTTTCGCAGGAACAGAAAGGCTCTTTCTCTGAGAAGCAGCTGGTGGGTTCAAATCATAGCTACCATTCATTGATACTTTCTGTGTAGCTGGATCTGCCATGATAAACGTTTTTATCCAAATTATTTCTTTTTATCTCCAAAGCAACTCTAACAGTATGGTAATACTGTATGTGGTTTTGTGTTTTGTTTTGTTTTGTTTTAAATGAAATTAAGACACAAAGATGTTAAGTAACATCCCCAGATCACACAGCTTACAAGGGAGAAAGCTACATTTTGACCCCTTGTTTAATTGATTAACTTAAAATAAAGAATTCTAAGAAGAAGAAAAAAGGATGACAGCCTTGGAAACACTACAGAGCAGTTGTGTCATATGGAGTTGCTGTAAGTCAGAATTACCTCAACAACACCTAACAACAACAACAACAATCTTTGCAGAAGAAGAATGCCAGGACTTTCTTTCGTTGTACTTTTGGGTGGGTTTGAACCGCCAACCTTTAGGTTAATAGTTGAACACAAACTGTATGCTACATTTTTGAATCCAAGACCTTGGGAGAGCATCAGACAATTAGAGGAGTCTGTGTCTACAGGGTAGGGAGAACCTGCTGCCTGTCCCAGTAGGGGTTGGGCTAGGGGTATGGTCAGACCAGTACCTGCATCCACGGTCCAGCCTCAGGAGAGCCCACTAGAGACAAGCAGAAGCCTAGGCAGCGCTATTGGCAAGCCCTTATCTGCTTACCAAGGAGATGAGAGAAGAGGTGCTCACAGTCCCTCATGTCCTCATCTCCAAGAAAGGGCGGGGATGACAAATTGTGTCCCCCAAAAAGCTACACCGAAGTCCAAACCCCTGTACCTTTGGTTGTCACCTTGTCTGTAAACAGACTTTCAGTAAAGACACTTATCAGTCAACTAAATGGGGTTCTATGGTGTACATGAACCAAGTATAAATCTAGGAAAATCAGAAGTAGGGCATTTTGAATCAGAAAAACACATAGCTTACTACACTGGGAATGACAAACTGAAGAGGAATGGCATCGCATTCATCTTCAAAAAGAACATTTGAAGTATAATGCTGTCTTTGATAACGTAATATCCGTATGTCTAAAAGGAAGACCATTTAATACCACATTGTTGAAATGTATGCACCAACCACTAAAGCCACTGAGGATGAACTTGAAGAATTCTACCAACTTCTTCATTATGAAACTCATTAAATATGCAATCAAGAAGCATTGATAAATACCGGTGATTAGAAGGTGCAAGTTGGAAACAAAGAGAAAGGACTAGTAGTTGGGAAATTAGGCTTTGGGGACAGACCTGATGCTGGAGATCTCAGGATAGAATTTTGCAGAACCAATCACGTCCTCACTGCTAACATCTTTTTTAAGCAACATAAAAGATGACTATACGCACGTATCTTACCAGATGTAATATACAGAAATAAAACTGACTACATCTGTGGTAAGTAAGAGATGGTGGAAAAGCTTCATATCATCAGTCAAAACAAGACCAGGGGCAGACTATTAAATAGAGCATCAATTTCTCTTATGCAAGTTCAGGCTGCAGCTGAAGAAAATTGAAACAGGCCCACGAGAGCCAAAATCTGACCTTGAACGTTTTCCACCAGGATTTAAACATCCTCTCAAGAACATATTTGATGCATTACACACTAATGACTGAAAATAAGAAGAGTTGTGGGATGGCATCAAGAATATCATGCAAAAAGAAAGCAGAAGGTCACTAAAAAAAAAGAAAGAAAGAAAAGGGCAAAATGGATGTTAGAAGAGACTCTGACACTTGCTCTTCAGCACAGAGATGCTAAAACAAATAGAAGTGAGGAGGTAAAAGAGCTGAACAGAAAATTTCAAAGAGCAGCTTGAGAAGAAAAGCCAAGTAAATATTATAATGAAATGCGCAAAGACCTGGAGTTAGGGGGGAAAAAAGGGAAGAACACGCTTAGTATTTCTCCAGCTGAAAGAACTAAAAAAAAAAAAAAAAATCTTGACTTGCAATAGTTAAAGATTCTATACGCAAAACACTGAATGATGGTCCATGTTCAACCATTTCAAGAGGTAGCATATAGTCAAGAATCTATGATCCTGAAGGAAGAAGTCCAAAGTGCACTGAAGGCAATGACAAAGAACACAGCTCCGGGAACTGATGGAATTAATACAAATGGAAATATTTTAACAAACTGAGGCAGCACTGGAGGCACTCACTCACTCATCATGCCAAGAAATTTCCAAGACAAGTACCTGGCCAACTGACTGGAAGAGATCCATGTTTGTGTTCCTTCCAAAGAGAGGTGACCCAACAGAATGTAGAAATCATTGGACAATATTGTCGATATCACATGCAGGCAAAATTTTGCTAAAGATCATTCAAATACAGCTGCAACAGTACACAGAGAACTTCCAGAGATTTAAGTCAGATTCAGATGAGGATGTGAAACAAGGGATGACATTGCTGACATCAGACAGATCTTGGCTGAAAGCAGAACACACCAGAAAGATGTTTACCTGTGCTTTATTGGCTATGCAAGGGCTTTAGAGTGTGTGGCCCGTGAAAAGCTATGGACAACACTGTCAAGAAAGGGAATTCTAGGATATTTAATTGTGCTCATGAGGAACCTGTACATAGACTAAGAAGAGGCAGGCATTCAAACAGTACAAGGAGATACTGAATGGTTTAGAATTCACAAAGATATGTGTCAAGGTTGGATTCTTTCACCATACTTATAAAATTTGTATGATGAGCACATAATCTGAGAGGCTGAATTATAAGAAAAACATGGCATCAGGATTGGAGGAAGACTCATTAACCACCGTGATATGCCCATGATACAACCTTGCTTGCTGAAAGCAAAGAGGACTTAAAATACATACTGATAAAGATCAAAGACCACAGGCTTCAGTATAGGTTGCCCCTGAATGTAAAGAAAACAAAAATCCTCACCCCTGAACCAATAAATAACAACATGAAAAGTGGGGAAAAGATTGACATTGTCAAAGACAACTTCATTTTTCTTGGATCTACCATCAACAAAGCAGCAGCCAAGAAATACACCGATGGACTGCATTATGCAAACCTGCTGCACACACCTCTTTCAAGTGGTCAAGAGCAAACATTATCAGTTTGAGGACTAACACACACCTCACCCAAACCGTGGTATTTTCAGCTACTTCATAATCATGTGAATGCTGCACAATGAATATGCAAGATTACAGCAGAAACAATGCATTTGAATTATGGTGTTACAATGAATACAGAAGATTATAGCAGACGCAATGCATCTGAATTATGGTGTTTTAGAAGAATATTTAAAGTACCATGGACTGCCAGAAGAACAAATATTCCGTGTTGGAAGAACAGTCAGAATGCTCCTTAGAAGCCTGGACTTGGTCTCTTATACTTTGGCCATATTATCTGGAGGGACAAGTCCCTGGAGGAGGACATGATGCTTGGTAAAGCGGAGGATCAGTGACAGAGGAGACCCCTAAGGAGATGGGCTGGTACAGTGGCGACAGCACTGGGCTCAAACGTAACAATTGTGAAGGTGATACAAGACCCGGCACTATTTTATTCTGTTGTGCGTCGGGTCTTGATGAGTGGGATCCACTTGGCAGCATCTAACAACACTGGTGCAGTGGGTTCCGCCTGGGGCCACAAGTCGGCGGTTTGAACTCACCAGCTGCTCCTCAGGAGAAAGATGAGGCAGTCCAGTCTCATAAATACGGCAGCCTTGGAAACCCTAGAGGGCAGTTCTACTCTGTCCTCCAGAGTCGTCATGAGTCAAAATCAAGTGGACAGAAGTGGGCACTGGGCAGAGACTCAAATAGGGAAGGTCCTAATTCAATGTGTATGGTGAGACACAGAGACAGCCACATGGGGACAGACAGACACAGGAGAAGGTTCATCTACAAGAGGAATGTCTGAGGATTGCCGCCAGCCATGAGGAGCTAGGAGGGAGACTTGGAGGGGTCCCTCTCCCTGCCTCTCAGAAAGAGTTCATACTCGGCCCACTGCTTAGCATGCTCAGTGCCATTTCATTCTGTGGGGAGTGTCGTGGCTCTGTAGGATAAACACTGGACTGCGAGTCACAAGGTCAGTGGTTCTAGCCCACCAGACGCTCTGTGGAAGAGAGGTGAGGCTTTCTGCTCCCACAATGATTTACAGCCTGTACAGTCTGAACCAACTTGATGGCACTTTACAACAATAGCCAGTGTTTTGTTACAACAGCCTAAGACGGCACCTTGGAGCTCACCGGCTCCCATTTGGAGAGAGCAGAGGGACCAGGATCTGTCTCTCTGAAGCACCAGCCCCTCCTTCACTCTCTGCCTCGTCTTCCTTCTCTCCTCTTCTCTGTCTCTTGTCCCTTCCTTTCCGCTCTTGCCTCACTGTCTGCTCCTTTCTAAAAGGCTCATTGTACACATACGTGGGGGCTTCAGAAAGCACAGGGAAAATTCCACTGTCTTCACTCTGCGTCTGCACAGGCTTTCTGAAACCCTCTCTTTCTCCCCTCCAACCTGACTTGCTCACGAAAGCTGCCTGTCTAGGGCCTCCCCAAGATCATAGCTACAAACCAGGCTGATGCCTTCTCAGAACCCGGCCCACACCTCAGAGGAGGGCCACTGGGGACACCCCTTTGGTGGGAGGGTGTTCAGCCCCATCCAGCTCCTATACCCACTACAACCCTACTCCGAAAATGAACCCCAGCTGAGCCCCGCCCCGGAGATGCTCTCCCAGGCAGCTCTGAGTTAATTCTAGCCCTGAAGTCAGTTTCCTCCCAGACGACCTGGGAAGCGTGGGGGCCTGGGCTCCAGCAGCCTCCTGGACTGTGTTCATTCCAGGAGAGAGTTGGGAGTGAGAAGGGCAGGAGAGAATGGAGCACTGATTCTGGGACCCTCCAGTCTGGGAGTACAGCTTCCCCTGCACCATCTCCCCCTCACTCACCTTCTGCAGAAACTCGATTTCCTGCTGCTTCGCGGTGAGGACAGCCAGGGCTTGCTCATGCTCCACTTCCAGCTGCTGCCGCCTTTCCGCGGCCTCTCGCATGTGCTGTAGGGACAGAACAGCAGACTCAGTCAGCAGCCACAGCCGGCTGGGCTGCTTCGTGAGCTCTGAGCAGCAGGCGTTCTGACTCAGCGTGAGCCGGGGGTGGAGGAAGGTGCCCCTCCCAGCAGCCCCTCACCCTCTGGGGGGGGGGGGGGGAGAGCGAGCAGACCTGGGGACTGAGATGGAGTGGGAGGGGAGCCAGAACTTTGCACAAAGACCACCATCCACTTGTTCCTCTTTAGGAAAACAAGGTGACCCTGCTTCTCTGCATTTTATTGCAAGTAATTTACAAATAGCCAACCCTCTCCCCACCAAAGGAAAAAAACAAAACATACATTCATGCTGGTGCATGCATAGGCTTGCTATGTGTATATATGTGCACATTACAAGGGGACTCCGAGAAGTTCCTGGAGCAATGGAATGAAAATATAATGGTGTTTTCCCACAAACTTGGCAGCCCCCTCATCCATCACTGTGGGAATATCTGTATAAGCGAAGGATCCCTGGTAGCAGTTGCTAACTAAACGCTTGCTGGTTTGGACCTAGCAGCGGCTCTAATGGGGGGAAAGTGAGGCAGTCTGTTTCCATAAATATCCCAGCCTCAAAAACCCCATGGGCAGGTGCATGTTGTCCTACAGGGCCACTAGGAGTTGGAATTGGCACGTCAGCAATGGGATTGGTTTGCTGTGTATATTTACACCATATGAGCCCTGATGTGGCGCTGTAAGATAAGCATTGGAGTGTAAGGTCAGTTTGAACTGCAAAGTTGGAGGTTCAAACCCACCAACGGCTCCTCAGAAACCTTATGTAGGGTCAGTGAGTGGGAACCAACTTACTGTCACTTAAAAACAGCAACATGTATGTATCCACATGTGCATGCACACACATGTATATAAGGACAGATACGTGTCTACATGAACATGCAAGTACATGTGTCTATATAAGGGCATATGTGTATTTGCATGTACATGTATGTATATAAGGGCAGGTGTGTATCTACATGTACTTGTATGCACATGTATGTATATATTCCACACAGTGGGTTGCATATTGGGCTGCGAAAGAACCAGGTCAGCAGTTGGAATCTCTGAGGAGAAACATGAGGCTTTCTGCTCCCGTAAAGATTTCCACTGTCTCATAAACTCCATACAGGGTCACGGTAAGTCGGGACAGACTTGACAGCACCTCACAACAACAAACGATTTTGGTCATCAAGACGCACCTCAAGGGACCGTCACTGTGATTTCCTCCGCTGTCACCTTCAGCAGGACAGACATACAGAAGCAGCGAGGGTGCAGGGGGCCTGGGAGGGTAGGTGGGACCCAGGCTGGGGAGGGGCATGGGGAAAGATGGAGCAACAATACACACAGGCAGGCCACAGTGCCACCCGCCAGACACTAGAAGCTCCTTCCTTCTGAGGAGTGTCTGTGAGTCCAGTGGACAGTCCACTGTTTATGACAGGGAGCTGCTACAGTCAGCGGGCTAATCAGCTGCTTGTTTCATAGGAAGCCAAATCTCCCTTCTGCACAGTTTGGTGCCCACGTGAGTGATGTCATGTGCTGATCTGCCTTCTAGCTTCAGGTGGAATAATCTCAGCATCCCCTCTGCTGTCTCAAGAGAAGGATCTGGTGAACCCAGAAGCTATAATTAGCACTGCACCCGCCAGACAGTGGTGGTTTCACTACTGCGTGAGAGCTCATAGTACCAGAGAGCAGAGCCCACAGGACCCTGGGGAAACCAGGCCATAGGATGTCAGGGAAAGAGAGTCTAGAGCTGAGCTGTCTGCCCATCACCGGTCACCTGATCAGGTGGGGCTAGAACGAGGCAGGCACCTGCCCCAGCTCTCAGCCTCCTGGGCAGGACGACAGCGCTTCTCACGCAGCCCCTGTGAGCCCATCTTCAGAAGTGACTCAATGTGGGGCCAGTCACTTCTAACAATGGGAAGAAGTACCTGGTAATTTCCTCCAGAAGACCAGCCTTTGCAAACCCTACGGAGCACAGTTCTACACGAACACACTTGGGCTCAACTCGGTGGCAACGTTCCTCCTCAAGTTGTTTTCAATATGGCATGAGCTATAATTGTTCCTCACATCTATTTAGCACTCGGTTACCTTTTGCTACAAATGTGACAGTTTTCCCTTCCAGCTGGCAGAGTATGCGGAGCTTTCAAAGAGTTCAAGGAAAAATGCCATCATCTTCTTATCCATGTTTCTACGAACTTTCTGATGCCCTCTTATAGTGATGTGATACTGCTCTGGTATTAAAGCTTAGGTGCCCGGGGACAGAAGAACTCAGGATGTGACCACAGACACTGAGCAGTAATGACCACTGGAGTAAGATGCTGGGCATCAGTAGAAGATGGCCTACTGTTTATAAAGTACTAACTCTAGCTATGCCAAGAGTCCTGGTGTGGTGCTGTAAGATAGGCAAGCACTGGAGGGTGGTTCAAGTCTGCAAGCCATGCTTCAGAAACTCTATATGGGGTCGTCAATTCAGAACCACCTGGAACGCACTTAACAACCACAAGGTCAGCAGTTAGAGCCCACCCACGGCTCTGCAGGAGAAAGATGAGGCTTTCTGTTCCTGTAAAGATTTACAGCCTTGGAAACCTTATACAGGGTTGCTGACACACAACAACAACTATATACCAAGCAGAGTTCCTGTTGGTGCGAACAGTAAGCACATCTGGTTGCTAGCCCACAGGTACCTCAGAAGAAAGACCTGGCTATCTGCTGCTGGAAGCCCTGTGGAGCACAGCTCTGCTCTGACACACATAGACTTCATCCACTGGAGCTGACCTGGCAGCGTATTGGTTTTGGCCTTGTACCAAGGAGCGTGGCAAAACCCACACTAAAGTTCTGGTACTGAGCTGAGAGCTGGGGTCATTATTTCATAAATAGAGCACCAGTTTCCGTGCCTTGCCAGAAGACATACAGCTGGAATGGTCTGAGGCTGGGTACCATCCAGAAAATCAAACCATCAGCCCCTGCACCCCAGACCATCTCTTGTCCCAAACCCACAGCTGGAGGACAGACACCAGCGTTAGATTCCCCAGGCAGGCAACCTGACTTGGCCGAACGATTCCGCAGCTGCTTAATTCCACTATTGTTCTTGCTAATTTTTACACTTCTGTTAATTTTGGAAGTGGGCACTGCCAAAGGCAGCCTGTGTAATCTTTATTTAGCATGGGGAAGGAAGTTATTAGCGGGAGGAGGAAACCGTCTTCTTTCAAAGCTTTATTCAGAACATTAACCAGATACGGAAATGACTCCCGTCGGGCTGCTGAGAGTTTGGGAGTGTGGAAATAGAACCAGGTTGTGGATAAAGGCACAGACACCTCCGCGGGGGTCTGGGCACAGAGGCTGAGAAGGTGGGTGTCAACAGGTTTGACAGGCTGGGACCACAGTGACGAAAACGGGTTAGAAACATCTCAGGCTTAAGGCTCGGGGTGCTGTGAAACAGTGGTCAGGGAAGCCTGGGCAACCCTACAGGCCAGAGGAGAATGCCCCAGTGAGTTCCTGAGGCTCTCAGCCTTGACGGGAGGAAACAGCCTCATCTTTCCCCTGAGGAGCAGCTGCTGGGTTCAAAATGCCCATCTTTTGGTTTGAAGTCCAGTACTAAGCAATGCGCCACCAGAATCCCTTTAAGGTGAAGTTGCTGTTGGTTGTTAGGAGCCATCGAGTTGGTTCTGGCTCACAACAACCCTGGAGAGGGTTTCCAAGGAGCGGCTAGTGGGTTTGAACTGCCAACTTGTGGTTAGCTGTCCAGGGGTGACCATACAGTACCACACCAGGACTGCACATAGGGTTAGTGTTGTTGTTGTTGTTGCTGTTAAGTGCTATCGAGTCGGTTCCAACTTGTAGTGACCCTGTATAGGGTTTCCAAGAAGCAACTGGTGGGTTTGAACTGCCGACCTTGTGGTTCGCAGTCCAGTGCTGATCCTACAGCGCTACCCAAGGAGTCCGAGTTGAGCACCAATCATTTATGACCTTCAGTGACCTACCAGTAAAGGAATACACACCCCTCAAAGGGGGTCATCTTTGCACTTCATTATGGCGAACGCCTGTACAGCAAAGTCAGTTTGAACTGCAAGGTCGGCAGTTCAAGCTCACCAGCTGCTCCTAGGAAACCCTATGCAGGGTTGCTATGGGTCACACCTGACTCGACAGCACTTCACAACAACAACGATGAGGGATGCAGTAGACAGGAGAGCCGGGTCATCTGGGAACTGTATCTTTTTAGTTTCCTTGTCCATCCCACCTCATCTCACCAGCTCCTTCACAGCCTACCTTCGCTCACAGCTACTGTCCTTCCCAAAACTTCTCAGAGGTGTTGTCTCTGCTCACCCCAATTCCTGCACCATCCTTTCTCCATCCAACCTTCCACCTCCTGGCTTCCTGAAACCCCGTCCTCCATTAAGAGAGCCAAAGATCTCCTTGTTGGACCCTGCAGTTACTTCTCTGAGTCCACCCAGCCAGCTTCTCCACAGCATGTGGCACGGGACCACCTGAAGGTCTCCTCGGACCTCCTCTCCCACTGCCCATTCCTGATTTCTGAGCACTTCATCATCCTGCAGCTGTCAATAGGTTACTTTGTGGGGCCACCTGCGGCCGTGATCCTGGAAGCTGTGCCGCTGGTGTTTCAAATACCAGCAGGGTCTCCGGGGAGGACGGGCTTCAGTGCAGCTTCCAGGTCAAGACTAGGAAGGAGGGCCTGGTGACTTGCTTCAGGATATCAGCCAACAAAAAACTGTCTGTGGATCACCACAGAATACTGTAGGACCAGTTGCTTTGGAGACATCACCCAAAAAAAGACAAAATAACAAAGCAAAACCCATTGTTGCTGACTCAGTTTAGACTCAGCAGTTTTACACAGGGTTTCCGAGGCTATAAATCTTCATGGAAGTAAACAGCCTCATCTGTCTCCTACAGAAAGGCTGGTGAGTTTGAACTGTCCAGTGCCACTAGGGCTCCTTAGGAGACATCATCAGGAGGGATCGGTTT